GAAGAAGAAGAAGAAGAAGAAGAAGAAGAAGAAGAAGAAGAAGAAGAAGACGACTGCATTAATGACCCAAATATTACTTGAGGCTCTGAGACATTTGCTCCCAGAGCTGGACCACTTCCACCCATGAGCTTAACCAAACTATTAATGTTTTCCTTGTGTTCTTGGAAAAGATAATGATGATGATGATGGCAAGAGAGTACAGTTTATAACTAAGAACATTAGAAATTTGGCTGTGTACCTTCAGAGCAGTCTGCTCTTAAGGAAAACAGTTTAAATTGCAACTTGGTTATGGTTTTGCAATAGATGCTTAAATTAGATTCTTATGTACAGAAAACATGGGTTCCAAGAATTGCTGCTATGTACACCAAGGATAAATTTACTCTATTTATATATCACTATTTATTAAACAGATAAATTCAAACCACCTGCTGAATTCTTACATTCTGTTGAGTACGAAGGATAAAATGGTAAATATGGTTGCCTCAGCACTGGAGAGAAATACCATCTAGTACCAAAGAGGGAGCACAGTGCCCTGGGGATAGATAGGAGAGATGCACAAGGGCGTAGAGAGAAGAGTGGAGGTGAGGGTGGTCAGGATTTTGGCTTCTCTGGTAATTCTCCTTAAAGACATGATACTTTTTTTTTTAAAGGATTAGTGACAAATATCATTCTTAAAGTTGACTTTTACTGGTTGTGGCTTGGCAAGAATTTCTTGCCCAATTTCTCCAGAAGTGAAGGAAGTGACCTGGGTGACAGATTATAGATTCTGCAGAGTCACAGGCAGGCTAAGTGTTTAACTTTGTGTTAAGGGTTGGGCCCAGTGAACCTTGACAAGTATTCAAAGCTTGCCAACTTTACTTCTCCCAAGTACCACATGTAGGAAAAAGGAGGACCTACTAGTCAGTCTTATGAATGGGGAAAGTGAAGGCTGGGTGTTAGTCCTGGCTTAGTATCTGCACATTTGCATGATAAACGGTTGAAAAAAAGCCAGCTTAGTTTAGCAACAACAATCTAAGATCTAAATTTCTTAGAAGTTTCAAAATAGTTACAGCATGTTTTTGTTTTAACACAGATTATTTTTATTCATTAATTTTTAGTAAGGTAGAAAACAATAAGATTTACTTTTCTTTCCTCCCCGAGACAAGGTTTCTCTGTGTAGCACTGGCTGTCTTGGAACTCACCCCGTAGCCCGGGCTGGCCTTGAATTGGGAGATCTGCCTGCCTCTGCCTCCCAAGTGCTGGGATTAAAGGTGTGGGTCAGCGATGCCTGGGGACGATGCGGTTTTATGAGTTTTTTTCTGTGTAGGTGTGTGTGTATATTTGTGCATGTGCTGGTGTATTTGTGAGTGTGCGCACTGTGCATGGAGGCCAGAGGTCAGCATGAAGAGATGCTCTTTAGGAGTCACCTAACTTAATTTTAGAGACAGGATCTCTCATATGTGTGTTTCAATATGAATAACAGTAGAGGCTAGGCAGCTTGTATGGGACCAGTGGGGAAGAAGGGCGACTTAGAGTCTAGTGTTATAAAGAGATAACTAAAAAAGGAAGATTAAATGGAAACTAGAAAAGGAAAATTAAATGGAAAAGGGAATGAGAAGGCAGGGTAAAGGAGAGAATGTGGGGATGGATATCTAACAACAAATAACTGTTGAGAAGTCATATGGAAACCTCCTACCACAGAAGCTTTCTAAAATATATACATAAATGAAAAGAATTTAAATGGAGTCCCCATACAAAGGGCAGACAACGCCCCAAAAGGACATCTTATACTACCATGTAAAACCTCCAGTGCCAAGAATGGGTTAAGTCTTGCTGAGTTGTTGGCCAAAGGGGTCCCATAGGCTACCTCCCCTGACCCCAAACATCACAAGCTATTGCTTAAGGCTGTTGGTTACTCTCTGTAACCTGATGGCAAGGCCCTACTACTGAAGACACAGCTTTTTTATGTCACTGAACATGGAGAAATTGAGCTGGTGCCCAACTGAAAGTTTTGCTCCTTCTGACAAATGTTCATAGTTCTAGAAGGTACTTTGCAGTTTACTAGAGGAGAAAAGTAATTACCAAGTTTCACCCAGTGGTTTACCTACCTGCCTCACAAACTGGCCCAATAGTGGCACAAGCGCTGGAAAGTAACCAACCGCTTTTAAAATTGGATTTAAAGCACACTTCATGAGATGGAAGTCAGGCCTGGCACTGCTAAAGCGGCCAAGAACCTCAGACCAGAGGGCAAGGCCTAGGGGAAATCTAGCATTTTTCTGCTAGAGGAACATAGCAATAACATGATTCTTAATGACATATTGCTATACCATGGAGCAGAGTGTCATTTAATCCTCATTAGGGAGAGAAGCTTCTTCCTGAAGTATGTGGGAATTAACACAGAGATCCATGATTGGACAGTCTGCAGAAACTGGACTGAGTTTGGCGCATTCAGCCCTAAATGGTACGCCTTTATAAAACCTCTCCCTACACGGGTCAGGGATCTGTGTGGAAGAGGAGGCAGAAAGATGGTAAGAGGCAGAGGCAGTGGATGACTTCGCCCAGACACAACAGCACTGGGAAACATGTGACCCCATAGACTGTGACAGCATGCACAAGACCTGCACAGGTTCAATCCCTAGCCAGGAGTATTTGAGCAACACGAGGCAGACACCATGTTTTCATATGTGTTTTTTGTTTTGTTTTGGTGTTTTTTTGTCTTACCTTTCTTATTTTTTCAGTTTGTCTCTTTTGATTATCATGACTTTTCTTTTTTTCCTTTAGAGAAAGAGAGCAAACAAAACAAAACAAGACAAGACAAAACCCCAGGAAGTGGATGTGTAGAGAGGCAGGGAATATCTGAGAGGAGTTAGGGAAGGGGAAAGAATACTATCAAAATAGGTCGTATAAAAAATTTGAACACAGGGGTCTTTTCTGAGACTCATACTCCAACCAAGTACCATGCAGGGAGATCACCTAGAACCCCTGCACAGATGTAGCCCATGGCAGTTCAGTGCCCATGTGGGTTACATAGTAATGGGAAGAGGGACTGCTTCTGACATGAACTGAATGGCCTGCCCTTTGATCACCTCCCCCTCATGGGGGAGCAGCCTTACCAGGCCATGGTAGAGGACAATGCAGCCACTCCTGATGAGACCTAACAGACTAGGATCAGAAGGGGAAAAAGAAACCCTCCCCTACCAGTGGACTTGAGGAGGGGCATTCATGGAGAAGGAGGAGGAAGGGAGGGGTTGGGAGGGGAGGAGGGAGGGAACTAGAGGGGGGATACAAAGTAAAAAAAAAAAAGTGTAATTAAAAATAAAATAAAAATAAAAAAAATTTTGGATAAAAATTAGAAAACAAAAATCCTCCAAATACACAGAAACTTAAAGAATATAAATAAAATTACATAACCAAAATTTTAGGTAGTTATCAGGTAAAATATCATTTCTGACCTAGTGGAATGGACAGACTACTTCTGGAAATATTTATTATGAGCCATCCAAGCACATGTAAGACAAAACGCCAGGACACATTTGACTATTTAATCAAATAACCCTGACTGTATAATGTGGGTAATATGTGCGTGTGTGGAGGCTGGGTACCAGCATCAGGTCTCTTTCTCTGTTGCTCACTCTGTATTTTGCGATGGAGTCTCAGAACCCTGGAGCTTACCAGCCTCCTAGGCCCGCTGGCCAGCAACACCCCAGGACCAGCCTGTCTCCACCTTTTCTCTAGCACTCGGGTTTACAGCCACTCTTGGCTTTTGTGTGGTGCTTGGGCTCTGAACTCTGGTCTTCATCTTGCTCAAAAGCCTCCTCAGCTCTGAAAATATGTTTAAAAAAATGTAAAAGGTACCTAAATAAGGAGTCGGGGATTTTAGGTTAATTTTTGATGCAGGAATGTGAGGCTGTGTGTTTGGGTTGGAGCAAAAGCCTCCCGTTTGAAGGAGGGGAGGAGGCATTGGGAGGATGAAGGCAAAGTAGACACAACCCCTTCCGTGGGGAATTTTAGTTTTAAACACCCTGAGTTGACAAACTGCCTGCTCACTTCACTTGTCAACAGCTATGGACTGGAGTGTTTTCATCTAAGAGCTCAGAACATTGGCACATTCTGGGATAAAGTCATGGTCACACGTAATTTTACAAAATAGTTTATTCAAGGTTATAAACAAGGTCATGAACATATCTGGCTACTTAATTGTTATTTTAATTATATCGCACAGATTCATATAGTCAACACTGTGGTTTCCAGAGGGATGACATAGATGCGGTTTTTACTTTTGTCTCTATAGTAAAACTGTGGCAAATTAATAGAACAGTTACATCATGCTACAGCTGTATAATTTTATATAGCAGTTCCCAGCCTCTTTCATCATATACCCCACCAGCTGTTACATACAATAGATTTCATCAATTGGAAACTCAGAGCTAACAGTTTCAGAAATGGTCATATTATAATCCATCAATTTTCTGTTATTGTCTTTCTCATTTACTATTAAGTTTTAAGCCTATAAAAATGTAGTAAAAATTGCTGTTGTCTAAACAAGCAAAGCTATTTTTTAGTAGCTTAAAATATTACTATATGGTTGAACATATATTTTACTACTTTAGTAGCAGTAAAGCACATAAAAAGTTTAGTGAACAACCGTGTAACCTCTAGGTATACATAAAACTCTACAGTGCAAAGTAAACACAGCAGAATAAAGGTGTTGGCATGTAGATGTCAGAGAAAAACAGAAGCAAAGCTCAGGGAATAGGAGATACACTAAGGATTTGTTGGTTGAAAGAACCAAAGAAAGGGCAGAAGTTAAGCTGATATGTTTCACAGCGAGCAGTGCTGCTCTGGAGCAAACAACAGAACCTGTGCATAAGGAGCGCAAGCAGTAGAGGAATTTCATCCAAGTTGATGTACATATCCAAGTCATCGCTCTTTGGAAATCGACAAGAAGGACCCAGTGTGCCACACACCTAGGTGATAGCCAGCTATTAAAAATTAATTCAGTGCCTCTTTAGCATGAGGCCCTCTGACAGCACTGTGAGATCCCGTTCTACTTGGATATCCTAATATATGTCCCGCTCAGTACTTACAGAAGAGTTTAGGTTTGTTAGATATAGTCAGTCGATGATTTCAGTCACACGGGTAAAATGTGTTTCTTTCCTAATGTGAGCTTGGCTGGCTTAAGGTTAAGTTGCTATGTTAAGAATCAGATTCCTTTTAAAAAGCAATCACGTACATATAGGTAGGTAGGCGTTTGGAGTGCTACGGTTCTTGGTAGACACAGCTGGTCCGAAGGTTGCCGAGATCTACCAGTGCACCTGGTGTTTTATTCTAATTGAGAAACAGTCAGTATCTGCAGTTAGTCATTTGTTAGACCCAGGGAGCATTGTGTAGGGTTTTGTTTTTATTTTTAAGGTTTTAAAAATGTTCCCTGCCTAAAGCATAACATGAGCTATGGTGCTTGCTCTTCTGAGGATATCTGTAAGTGTGGTTCTGTTCAGGACCCAAAGTAGAAAAAAGTCAAGGGCAAGGCTGAATCTCTTTCAAACAGTTTCTTTACCAATGTCCTAAGTCATATATTCTTTTTTTTTTTTAATTGAACGTGTAGTGGTACAGAAGAAAATAAAAGAATTTTCATATGTAATAAGAAAACATTCCACATCATCTTAAACCTTTGAATGGTTTTTATCCTTTCGTCGGTGGTAACATTTGAGTCATTCAGCCAACCCAGAACCCGCAAGCTTTTTATTACATTAAACTTTAGAGAGCTTAAAAAAACTACTTATGTCATTATTTTTAGTTAGGGCAAGCTGGTTATCTTTTACTCCTATGAACGTCCCACGGTGGCTTATGCATTCAAATGAAACGTAGTCAGAAGACTGTCTGTGAAGGACGAAGAAGGCCTGCTTCGGAGGCGGGACTTGCCCCCTCTGGAGCTGAGAAAAGGAGAGAAAGGGCAGTGTGTGAAGTCCAGAACTAAAAGTTGCCGTCCTGGGCCAGGCTCCATAGGGGAATAAACATTTATAACTTGGTCTCTCTAGAAAGTTTGTGTGTTGAGTCGAGGAGGCAGGCTTTAAGCTGTGGCGGGATCCGGCGGGGGGGGGGGGGGGGGAAATGGCACGAGGCAGGAATGGAAGTGATTCAGAAAGAGGCAGAATATTACATAATTAGCTTGGCATAGACTGACCAGATCTACATGCGGCACATCTGGATTTTCACCCCTCTTTTACCGTGTACTGCCTCTAATACAGAAAGCATGTTGCTTTCTCTAGTAAACCACACAGTTCCCTATGGACTGGTTCAGCATTCCCTATAGATTGGTTCATTTCCAGTTTCAATACGGACATATTTTAATCAAATTAAGTTATTTAATTGAACTAAGCTGATTTAAGTACAGACTTACTATTATTATCACTTATGTTATCTTCAAGAATTTATTTTAAATTATATTCACGTGGGTGTGCGTCTGTGTGTGGGCATGTGCGCCTAAGGGTAGACGCCCATGGAGGCCAGAGGCATCTGGCTGTCTTGGAGCTGGAGTCACAAGTGGTTGTGAATCACCTGACAGTGAATACTAGGGTCCTAACTCAGGTCCTCAGAATAAGCTCTCAATTGCTAAGGACCTATACGTGCTCATTACTCTAATCCACTGAGTTTTGAGATAGTTGTTACACATAGCTGAGCGAGGTAAATTATTCCATCATAACTTACCGTAAGGGTTGAAGAGACAGGGCTTGCAGGGTATTAAGCAAGAACTGACATGCCGTGGCAGTCCACTCTTAGTTTTGAGGCATCGTTTTGGCTAGATCTTGTATTATATACACTTGAGGATATTCCCCTGAGCAGAATGCTGACCACTGTCCACGGTTTGTGACACTGTTTCTGTTTTCCATGGCTGGATCGCTTTGAAATTTTGTACATTTATAGAAATCGTCTTACGTCCCCACCTTCCTTCCCTCCCTCCTTCCTTCATTCCTTCTTCCTCTGGCTTGTCTGTTCTTTGCATGATCATAATTTTTTTTTTTGTCATGGCTGATGTACACCTGCTGTTTACTAAGTAAGAATGGATCAGAGGTAGAATGTAATGCTGCCAATAGCTGCTGATATGTGGACACGTTTGCTATCCTCCCCTTGACAGACTTGGGGCCACATATTATTTTATAAGAAAAATTCTGGAAGAACCCAGCCAAATGGAAAGGATGTGAGATCACTCTGTGCGGAAGTGCCTCTCAAACTGTTTAGTGAAATGATGAAGCTCCTGGAGGGTTGTTCAAATGTTAGGTCTTGTTCAGTTGTCGGGAGACTGAAATCCTGCTTTCTAACAGGTTCCCTGGAGATTCTGTGCTTTTGCCAGAGATCAGACTTCCCTTCTCCCCCTTCCCTACTCTCAAGCAAATCATTAGAAGGAACTGACTGTATTTTATTTACAATAGTACGCACACAACTCTGTCTTCAAAGGTTCCCTAACATCTAAATACACATAAACCGGTAGAATCAATTTGTGGGTGTGACGCAGTCATATTTGTGTTACCTCCACGGAGTGTTCCTTGTCGTTGGCATGCAGCCAGATGTCTGTGTATTTGATGGGACTCATGTTCACCATCAGCATCTTCCCATCCACACCGTCACCTTACAATGAAAATGGTAGCCTGTGAGGTGATACATCTGCCACTTGGCCACATTCAACCACTCTGTTACACAGAGACAACTGATACTGCAGAAGCTCCTGTTGTGGGGCTAGAAAGATGCTTCCATGGGTAAGGGCACTTGATGCGCCTGCAGAAGACCTGGATTCAGTTCCGACAACCCATAGAGCAGCTCACACCTAACTACCTGTGACTGTAGTCACAGGACACTCAGAGCTCTCTTCTGGTTTTTTCAAGCACTGCATGTATGTGGTACACTAACATACATGCAGGCACAACGTTTGTGCCCATAAAATCTTTTTTTTAAAAGAAAATCTGTTGTGAATGATTAATACAATTTCACCTATAAATTAAAAGTAAAAAAAAGAACAAAGGAAATTATAAATCAAAAACCCTGTAACTCATCTTAATGTAATGTAACCCAAAGACCCAAGTTGTGAAGGAAAATAGAACGTTAATCCATTTAGAAGTGTTTGTACCCAAATAAAACTGAAGAATCATCACCAAGTAGGTAGTTTTGATCTTTTTTAATTGATTCCAGTACACACGACTTTGGGCATCGCCTTCCCTGTGAACATGCTAAGCCTCTGAGAGCTGTCCTCTGATAGATGATAATAGAACATTCCCCCACCTGCCTTCTGTGTGGCTCAGCGTTGCTTTCAGACTAAGTTCCAATCAAGCAAAGATGAGCAGACATGTGCTGTGTAACTTCTTAATTGTGTCCTGACTGGGGGAAGAATGCATTCACCTGCCTTGCTCCCTCTTGCTGATCGGGCCTAGTGTGAGCTGTTAGTCATGGATAGAGGATAATGTAAAAGGAACTGCCTCTGGACAACCTTTGAGCAGAATCTTTCTAGCCATGGCTGGGGATGGCCTGTACTGTTATAAGTGTAGCTAAGCCCCTATCTTACTAATCCGGAAACAGGTGAGGTGGAATAAGTGCTCTGAGACGCTAAGATTTTACAATGAGTGCGGGATTAAGGAGAGAATTTTGAACCCCTCTTTCATGATAATCTTGAGCTAATGTAGATTCATCTTTGTTCTGAAGGAGAACTCAAGCACCACCACCAATCCCCACCCCCCACCCCCGCCCTCACATTACCTGATTCACTTGCGGAAAAGGAGGACTCATAATAACGCAGTAGCACTTTGTCTGAAAGACAACACAGGGCATCAGTGGGTAAGAGACACACGTATCAAAGGGTTTCATTGCCATTCTTTACACAGGGCCAGGAAACAAGTGTCCTCTCCTTTTGCATACACCAAAAGAAGCAAAACCTTGGTAGTTCTTAGAAAGATCTCAGAATAGACTGTGCTCTGATGAACTTCTCCAACACAGGCCTTATTGTTGATGGCAGAGGAAGTCTTTCACAAAAGACTATGCTTTGGTGACACTGAAAAGTTGGGGAGATCTAGTAGGCACTCAGCATTAATAGATCCGTGTGGTCCCTCTTTCTGTGTTTCCCAATAGGTGTTTCTCAGTGTCTATTTTATTCCCAGAAGAATGTGACTGTACTGAATCCTTCTTGACATAGGAAGGAGTGGAATTAGCATGGTTGATGAAACCCATTGCTGTTGAATGTCTCAGTTAATCCACTGTTGATAGCATTGGTAGATTTTTTTTAAAACTTTGCCAGTCATCATTACTAAATATAGACATAAAGAAATATCCTACCTTTTTCTTGGTCTTTTCTAGAATCTTCAACATTGATCCCGTAACATCCATTCTCCAAAACAAAACTAACGGATTGGTCATTATACGTGCTCAGGGAAGCACAAGATTCTGTAAAAAGTGAAAGTCCTGTCATCAAGAATAAAACACAAACAATTCTATGAGTCATTCTCTTGGCTATTTCTTTTACTTCCTCTGAAGAATTTTGGTTTTTGGTGTCAGCTATACTTTGTCATTGTAACATAGGCAAAAGCCATGTACAATAGCTGATAACAGGGTGGGATTAAAGGTGCCGGCTGCCTGCACAGTGGAGGGGGGTGGAGGAGGACAGCTCTCTTTCTTGCCTTCCTACAGTCTAGGGGACAGTGGGCAAGAATGTTCATGTTTGGAAGACACAGGTGAACGTATGTCCCTTTATAAATCATGGTCTCTTAGAGATTTCCAAAACTCTGGGGCAGTGGTTCTCAATTTGTGGGTCTCGACTCTTTTGGGGGTTAGCCGATCCTTTCTCAGGGATCTTCCAGTAGCAAAATTATAGTAATGAAGTAGCCAAGAAAATAAGTTTATGGTTAGGGGTCACCACAACATGAGGAACTATATTAAGAAGTCTGAGCATTAGGAAGGCTGAGAATCTAGGGGGATGCAGACAGAAGCTACTTCATGCCTTTGCCTGAACAATCGAGACACGTACTGAGCACATGACAACATTTTAAAAGCCTATGTAAACTGAAGCAGACTGGGACACATAGGATGATCCTACATTAAAATGTACTGTATCTTCTATGTGTTAATTAAATTTTGCAAAGAAAAATAATATACAAAACGAGAATTTGTATGTGAACATCTAAAGCAAAGTAATTTAAAAATGGTTTGTGAGAAAATTGAATATTGATCGGGAGCTTAATATGTTTATATTAAATATATACTAAAATATATGTACTACATAAAATATGTACTAATTTGCTTTATATAATATCCCATATAAAAATAGCTATTAAAATGGCAATATATGGTTTTTAATCAAGTTTCTTTAATGGTGGTGTTTTTACTTGTTAATTAATTACTTAATTTGGGGTCTTTTGTTTGTTTTTGAGAGTGTCATACTAGATAGCTCTGGTCATTCTGGGACTCACTGTGTAGATTATGCAGGCCTGAACCCCCAGAAATTCACCTGCTTCCCAAATGCTGGGATTAAAAGCACATGCCACTATGCCCAGCCTTCACTTTTAATTTTCTCCCACATTGATAGAGATTAAATGAAGAGCATGGTACATGAGCCAAGTGTTCTATGAATGAACTACATTCCCTGGACTTTCTTCACTTCTTGATAATCACCATTTTATTTGGAACTCTGCACAAATAATAATAATAAAAAAAAAACCTTTAAACTAGTCTTTAAGCCATACCATGTTAAAATTGTTTTTTTAAAAAATAATAGTTCTTTTATTTTCTTTCATGGTGAACATTTTAAAATTTGAGGACTACTGTAATTTTTTCTCTCAAAGGAGAATGCATTTATCAAGACTGAGGTGAACATGATTCAAATCTAAAGCAAGTATCCCAAAACACCAATGGAGTGCTAACTAGAGAACGCACAGGCATAGCTACACCACCCCAGTTTGGCTGCCATGAACTGGCATACAAGCAGGAAACAGAGGTTTCTGATACATGTGAAGACACACTCTTGAGTCTTCTGAGTGAAGTAGCCTTGGCCAAGACCCCATGTCTTGTCTCCCACTTCATCCCCAACACAGCCCGTGTGACCAGTCATACCTCGGATACTTGGTGAGTCAAATGACGGAGTGTACGCTTGGAAACTGCGTCCAGCAAACAGGGCCCTCTTCATAACATGCTGTGAATAGGCAGAGAAGTTGTCTTCGTGCTTTCTACCTGCAAGACAGCAGCTGGGGTCAGGGGTTGAGCCATCACTCTTCCTTCTACAAAGTTACCGTCATTTTAGTGGGCAATATAGCGACAGTGGTTAGTGATCCCAGAGCTGTGGTCACCCAACGGTCTGATAGGATCATTTCCTCCCTGATGGTGAGGTCTTCTCTTTAAAGGACATTTTTCCATTCATACTCTAGCAGAGCACACCAAGTGGGAAAAAAAACAAAAACAAAAACAAAACTACTTGCCACAGTCACAACATTCATAAGCACCCCTGTGAACTATTTAGTTTAACTCTTGTATATTAGAAAATATAACCCCAACTGATTGCATATTTACATATAATCTTGTATCATCTACTCAACATTATATCAATTTCTCCCATGTAATTAAAACCCTTTCTAAAATGCTCAACACATTATCATCTTTATTCTTTTCCTCAAGGACAATTTGGGTGAAGAAAAGAATCGTATATAGGTGTGGAAAGTAAAAGCGAATAGATGCCATCAGTCTGTCCAGGAATGTACTTACCTGATTTTAGCGAATATCTTTTGGTGGGTTCTTTCCCAAAGTAAGAGTTATCCTTTTGTATGGTGAGGCCAGAACGGAGCCTCATGCAGTACACATGGCAAATTTCTTTGGCCTTCTGCTGGGATCCTAACAATAGGAAGGAAAAAAAAAAAAGTAGATTTATGTAGGTCATCCAGAACCTCCCACAGAGACGGGAGTAGCACTACTTGATTAAAAATTGACTATACTTATTTTCTAGTAGGACACAGGATATGCTATACAAAATAAAATAAAGTCTTGCATTAACCAGTTCACTGGGACCAAGTCTGTGACCAGGAGCAACTTAAAGGAGAGAGCGATTAGTTCTGCACAAGTATCAGGTCCTTTGTGGAGGGGAGGGAAAGGTGTAGGGGTCAGGAGGCCGCCTGCTCACAGCTCAGCAGTTTGTGAAGCAGAGAATGAGGAATGGCGGTGCTTAGTTGTCTTCCTCTGTCTCCTTTCTAGTCGGCTCTGGACCCAGCCCATGGAATGTTGCAGCTGCCCATTTTCAGGGTATGTCTAAGCTAGCCTTTCCAAAAAAAAAAAAGCTGACATAGACACATGTAAAGAGATGCTTCATTAATGCCTTAAGCTGGTCTTAATTCAATCAAGTTGACATTTGATATTAGCTGCCACAGACCTTGGGATTTAACAGACAATAGGCTGGGGTTGTGTTTTGCTGCCAAATGAGTTGTTGAAACAATTTAGGTCTTTAGGGATTTTTGTTTTGCTTTGTTTCCAGAAGGCCACTTGAGGAATCATGACCCTACATTCAGATTGCATAAGCCATTACCTAACTGAGGGCAACGTTGGCATGCACATGAGATTTGAGCTGGTTTTCTGCTCTTCTAGGATAAGCTTTCAATAATCTTTGGAGGGTCGCTGCAGGCCATAAAGGTTATTGATGCTATTCATTGACTGCCATTAACCTAGTATCAACATTAGACCTAACACTATGCTAATGCCTTTTTTAATTTAGCCATTCATAATAAGCTTGCAAAGTATTATTGTCTGAGTCTTACAACGATAATCTTAGGCTTTTAGGAGTCATGACGCTGCCCAAGATTCCATGACTCATGAGTGGTGCTAAGGAGTGTGTCACAGTTAAATGGCTCCACGGACTCTTGTGCTTGAACACTTGGTCCCGGCCTGGTGACAGTGTTTGGGGGATTGTGGAACTTTTGGGACCTTGCTGATATATATAGACCACAGGGGACCAGCCTCAGAAGATTGTAGCCTGGTCCTTCAGTCCCCTCCTCCGGGTTGATGCCATATGAGAAGCTGCTGCAAGCTATGGCTGCCAGAGATCGAACTGATACATCTCATGGTGGACTGTACCTTCTAAGCCACGAAGCAAAATAGCTTGTCTGCCTTTAAGTTGCTTCTGTCAGGAATTTGGCCACAGAGATGTAAAATCAATGATTAGTGCAGTGTGTTTACTCTCAGGGCTCTTCATTAGATTCTACCAGCACTGAAAAGGCCAAAGCAGGAGGGTCATGAATTTCCAGGTCTGTCTGAGCTATGTAGAGTCTTAATTGGGCGGGGGAAGAAATTGGGCCTGCAATCTGGGGAGGGGGGAGGGGATAGCCAAGTGCAAATGCAATCAACTGCACTAAAAAGATTAACCAGTTATTCATCCATCCTCATTTCATTTAGCCAAAGAAAACTTTAAGGCACGTGCAGAAAATTTCATTTGTGTCTTGGACATTAGTTATAGTCCTTTTAGGGTCAGGTGGAAAGGAAGACCTGAACATGTGACTTGTAAGATGTCAGTATTCAAAGTGATTTTGGTGCCAGCGTCAGAAATTCTGGCACACCCACTCCACAATGCAGTGTCTGTAAAGGGGTCACATTTTCCGGATACAAAGACAGCGAGTTCTTTAACACGAGGAAACTTGGGGGCACCAGGTCACTTCTACCCAGTCACTGATTCTGCACAGAGCATTTTGACACAACTACAAGTGAAAGGATCAGTTTAACTGTGATTTCCTGGCCGTTCAGAAACCATTGTCAAATCTGTCATTTTTTTTAAAATCCTGATTACCAAAGAAGTGTGTGGGTGGTCTGAGCCTTGGGGGAGGCAGAAGGGGGAATCGATTTCTTTTTAGGCCAGCCATCATTATCTAATTTCCTTCCAGACTCCCAGAGCTCTGTTATCCTCCTTGGTGTCACTATTTCAGTATAAAAAATATGCTGTAAGTAGCTATGATTCCTTCCCGCTTTGCTGATTTTTTTATTATTTATTACAATTTATTCACTTTGTATCCAGCTGTGGCCCCCTTCCTCATCTCCTCCCAATCCTACCCTCCCTCCCTCTTCTCCCCCTATGCCTCTCCCCTAGTCCACCTTAACCAAAGACCATGCATGGAGAGGACCTAAAACCCCTGCTCAGATGGAGCCCATAGACTCAGTCTCCGAGTGGGTTCCTTAGTAAGGGGAGCAGGAGCTGTTTCTGGCATGAACTCAGTGGCTCTCTGATCACCTCCCCCCTAGGGGGAGGGCTTACAGGCTTGCCAGGCCACAGAGGAAGACAATGCAGCCACATTACTGACTTTAAGGCTCAAAGATTCTACAGTTCCTTCCCTCTTCAGAGGTGTAGCTGTTATTTAACTTCACTTCTCTTTCGTCGTACTCCAAACGCTGAGTTCTTAATTAGACAATTATATTTGGTTTCTTCTTCTTTATTTGGGGCCTAGGTATCTTCACTTGTCATTCTTTTCTGTAGATAATCATCACAGTGATACCCCAAAGGTCTTGACAAATATGTGGACTGAAAGTGGATCAGTTTAGAGATTTGTTGGTTAGTTAGGGGAGAGGTTTTGGGGATTCGGTGGCAGGAGCCATGAGAGGTATGAAGAGATAGATATAAAAGACCATTTTTTACTAAGTTTACACTTCCCTAATGCTCTAAGCTGTCACTATCCTGTGTTGTGCCAAATAACAACAGAAATGATATAAACTCCGTTCAAAAATAAGGCTTCTATATTACATACATATATACTTCTACACTTACATACTTTTAGTTTCAGTTCTTATACTCTTAGAAATTTTTGGTAAGGTAGCATGTCTTAACATTGAAATAATTAATATTTGATAATAGGTGTAAAATAGTGTGCAAAATGGGAATGTGCAAGCTCTTACTTCTTAGTTTGCAAGGCTGCGCCAAGGCTTTCTCTGCTGTGCTGTTGAGCTTTGCTGGGGAAATTTTGGAGTTTGAATACTTCATCTTCGGCTTCATTTTTCAGGTTTCTGTAGGATTAAAATATAATATTAGTCCAACTATATGTATCTGAAATCATCAGAAATAACTTTGGGTAACTCAACAAGAAATTGATAGCCTTACAGAAAAAAAAAAGAATAAATTTGAGCATAGTATTCTGATTGTACACTTATGCTAGAATCTAGCCATAGAATAAAAATATTTTTTAAAAAAGCACAGAGAAATCTGAAGCTAGGTAGATTTATTGTTAGTGGCAGTGTTTTTATTGAAACCTCAGGATTGTTTTGTTGTAGTACATAGAAAAAAAATTTAAAGTAGCCATACTTATTTGGCATGATTTTCACTGTGGAGGAAAAGAAATACAAATGTATAATTCAGATGCCAAGGCAAAGCCCCTGTGACATTCATTTTGAGTCAGAATTAAATAGCAGTGTGTGTGCCTATCTTCTTTCCTAAATACTCTCTCCACTAGAAGGGACCACGGCTCCAGATATGGGGCCAGGAAAGTAATATTGACCATGAAACATGCTATGCCAGAAAACAGTCAGTTACTAAATGAGTTTATGTCAAGCTCATGGAGGGTTTCTGCTTGTCAGATTTGGCACCATCTGAATATTAAAAAGAATAATGATGGCGATCAAGAATAAGCCTAACTTCTCAAGAATAAAGGAAGGGAGTAAGATTGCTGATTTGCCCTGCTCACTTACAAGTGAGTTCAGGGTAAAAAGGAGAAGCTATAGTCCAAGAACGCGGAGCAGAAGATCTCTGGGAATCAAGGTGGGAAGGACAAAAACAAAACAACAACCACAACCCCAACAAAACCAGGGTAGCGAAAGTTTACGGAGAAACAAAAAGATGACTTGGGGGAGCAGGAAGCTGTGGCTCCCTGCACGGGTAGAGGATGGGGAGAGGGCCCCGAGAGGAAGTCAGGAAGGAGGGAAACGCAATCACATGGTCAATTCTAGTTTAGGGGGCCATAATGAGAACAGGCGAACATTGAGGGCAGCAAGGGAAACCCAAGGTTGGCGGCCCAGTTCTCACAAGCCTTAAATCCAGGGCAGGATTTTGGTCTGAGGGCGAGTTCCCTTTCACTGCTGACTAGAGTTAAGAAGCCATGGCATCACTCCCTGTAATTTGAAAGAACGCTGTGATCAGGAGCGATCTTCAAAGGGGGGGGGGCACTGTTTGAGACTGGGCAGCTCAGCATATCAGAAAATACAGAAAGGTGACAAGTCAGGGCGCCTGGGAACACGCTGCCACAGTGACTGGCCAGGAGGCAACCTGAAGAGGAGGGTATGACAGATGCAGCAAGTCTCACTAACCAGGAGCCTGGGCTGTGGAAGGGGCGTGGCCAGTGGTCCTGCCCCCTTGTGGCGGGGACCACGACCTGCAGCGTGAGGGTGTCTGCAGAGAGGGAGGCCTCCAGACCTGCACGGGCAGGTCACTTAGTCTATTGCTCTTCCCTCCAGTACTCCCTTCACTCCCAGGTGAACTCGGTGGGCTTTGCCACACTCATGGAGCGTAGGCTGAGGGTCACTGGAGTGAGTGGGAACCTGCTCAGCCTGCAGGATGTGTAAATCACTGTGGGATGCAAAGGCCCCGTAAATGCAAAGGCGGAAAGCCTCCGGACTCTTAGGCTCTAGAGTAAACACAGCGCTGATGCGATACCTGTACGCCAGCCTGCTTAGTGGAAGCAAATGTTTACCCATGCCCCCCCCCCCCCACAGACATGGAAAGGTGAGTCTGTCTCCCCCTTTAATTGGGGCGGTCTCTGACATGCAGTCTGTTGCCTGCTTTTCAATCACTTCCCCCTCGCCAGGCCACAGGGGAAGAAGAAGCAGTCATTCCTGATGCAACTTGTTGAGCTGGGATGGGTAGGTGATGGTGGTGGGAATCCACTTTTCTGAAGGGGAGGGGAAGGCGAATAGGGGAAAGAGTGGGTCGGGGAGGAGAGGATGGAGGGGACTATGATTGAGATGTAAAGTGAATAAGTAAATTAATTAATGATAAATTATAATTAAAAAATTTTAAACTATTATTTATTATTTTGAATTTTTTATTCCCGTTTGGTCTAACTTTATCTACTTCTTTTATATTGAGTTTTAAATCTCTTGTTATCTTCCTTGCATCGTTTCAATTTTACCACATTGTCCTTTTTCTCTTTTAATTTTTTTTTTAAATTAACATATAATTACATCACTGCTCAGGCAGATAGAGCCATCTAATTCTTGAGAGAGAGGTATCAAAAACATATATTAGAAAAAATATATAGCCTTAAATTTTTTTACTGGGAAAACTGGATATCCAAATGTAGAAGAATGAAAGAAGAAAGCTGTCTCTTATTCTGTACAAAAAAAAGAAACTCAAATGTTCTCTGTTCTCTCTCCCTCTATTACCATCCTATCTCCCTCCTTTCTCTGTTCAAAGGGGTTAAAAATTAACACTCTATAAAAGTTACAACTGTGAACTACATAACTTATTCTCAGCCAATGATTATGACTGGTTGCGGCTCCAAGTGGCCCTAAATGATGCCTTCCTGAGGGGTTACACGAAGGTTTGCAGGCAAAGGACAAGGGGCTTATGCCAATTCTTTCAACAACTGCATTAGTTAAGAACTGATGCAGACAGAGGGGGGTGGGCCAGCACTTGGAATTTTGTTAACCCTTCATATGCTCAAAGCAAGTGTCCTGAAGAAGCTGTGCCCAGTGTTCAGTATATACTCTTCTCTTTGGCTGAGTTAAATATTGTGTTAAACTTGGCTGAAAGATCAACAGCCAAAATTATCTCTGGCTGCCTTAGGATTTTTGTGTAAGCAGCCACTTCCTATTAATAATAGGGGCATCTGATTTGATGATCTCAATGTGTTGTTTATGCATAGCACGAAGCTAAGAAGCTGTAAAATGGCATACAAAACATACAAGGAAGATTTCCTCATTTTTCTGTTCCCACTGTTTGTTGAATGTGCTGATTATGACTTAGCGCAGTTGTTGGATGTCTCGTCTTATGGCTTCCTTTATTCTTTGCCCGCAAACCTTCCTGTGACCTCTTTTGCTTAGGAACACATCACTTATCCGTGCTACTGAGCTGTTACCACTCATCATCACTGGCTCACAATAAATGATCTCCTTCAAAGCAGAATTGTAACTTTTACCAAACAGTTCATCTTAAATCCTTATGTGTGGGATCATGGGGTTAGGTGACCCATATAAAGGCTAGAGTTTCAGTTGGACAGGATACAGTTTAAACAGCCTGTACCAGTAGGAACTGAGGCAGCATGAACAGCCCAACACTGCTCTTCTGTGCTGCTTCAAAAGCAGTGATGCTTTCTGTTTTCTCTTTCACCCAAGGGTTCATGTGTCCTAGAAACGTTTTTTTCTAGACATGAAGTTGCCTTTTCAATAAATCTGTTTGTTACAGTCAGTAGCTTACCTTCTTGGAGACCTAGAGTTGGTGGTAGCCTAGTGAAGACACCCCAGCAGCTGAGGAGTCGTGCCTGTTTTTGCTTTTCTCTATTTTCAGTGATGATTTGATTTCAATAACCTTCTCTTCCCTTCATTACTTTCATGGACTAGCTTGAGCAAACACTTGTGGAAGAACTCTGCTCTAAAGGACCATAAGCTTGCATGGTTAAACAAGATAAGAAACAAGGAAATAAACATTTATGACAGAGATATCCACCTAGAATGCCAACGTCTCTATTAGAATTACGGAACTAAAAGTATAATCCAGAACGATTTTCAAATCTCATTCTGAAAAACGAACCACTTTATCCTTTAACAAGTCTTTTGTCTTTCTATATCAGAGTTCCTTAAGAGCCTGGAGCCGGTACTGCTTCCCACCCCCCCCACCCCCACCCCCGACAACAGAGAGCAGATATTCTGGTAGATTGGTGTGACACTCACCCTGACAGTGACAAGGAATGGCTGGTCTTGGGTGGTGTTCTTTCCTGTAGTCAGCACTTGCTGATAGCTAAAGCAGGCATGCTCCACTTCTATTTATATGGGAGCTTAGATTAGGCAACACAGGTGACATTAGCCACTGAATAAAATTATGCAAATACAGCTCTCTGAATGGACTAGAATGTGGGGTGTGTAGCTTTTCCTGCAGAGAAATTCCCAACAGAGCAGTACTTTCAGAGTTATACTTGATTACTATTTTTTTTTTCTAAAAATGTAATCTTTAAAGTAGATGCTTAGTGATGCCTTTTCTGGGATATAGAATATACAAGGGAACAGATTGTCTCTTCTGTAGAAAGTTGTTGTTTTTTTTTCCCCCTAGGTAAATTTTTTATGATTGTAAAACTGATATATGTACCCTTAGAAAATATATATAAATGTCTGGAAAGTATCCATGCTATCATTTTTTTGCTTTTCTCGGCGTGGAAATGTTAACATGCATCTATTTTTAATTAGAAAGTAGAAACATACTGCAAATATTTTGTGAACCACCTTTTTCCATTTTCTAAAAGTAACACTGTATCCTGACTGTTTTCTGCTTTCAGTCACACAAATTAATTTTGACCAGTTCTTTCTCCTTTCACATAATGGCTGTTTCTAGGCTTTTTTTTGTGTGTGTGTGTTCCTAATATTAGAGTTCCAGCTGAAGGGGTAGGGTGCATGCCCATGAGTCTTAGAAAACTTTGAAGTTCACTGGCAACATAAAATTTACAATAGTGGGATTTACCCCTATTACATCACGAGATGCATGTACCTTGTGGCTTAACAGTTATTTCCATTTGACGTCTGAAAGCTTGTGTCGGTCTGGAGTTTGTCAACAATCTAGATGAATTTCCTTTTCCCTGGCCCTTATGTGTCATACCCTTTGACACATTTACCTTTCTAAAGAATAAAGATATTTTCTATACGCGACTCCAAATATTGCATTCCCATTTTAGGTCGGGGACTGTGTATTTTATCAGAATAAGCCAATGTGACGATTTTCTTTTCGCTTTTTTTGTATCATCTACATCTGGCCAGCCAGTAAGTCTTTTACTAAAACACAGTGTCCTTTCAGGTATCAGGCTGATCAAAGCTGTGGACATGTTGTCACAGTGTCAGTTTGGCTGCTGACTTTCCTTTGTAAGAATCTTATTTTGAAGGGGGAGATAGAAAGACGTGGAGGGAACAGGAGCTCCACAAGGAGAGCAACAGGACCAAAAAAATCTGGGCACAGGGGTCTTTTCCTAGACCATGGACCATGCATGGAGATAACCTAGAACCCCTGCACAGATGTAGGTCATGGCAGCTCAGTCTCCAAGAGGGTTTCCTGGTAATGGGAACAGGGACCATCTCTGACATGAACTCAGTAGCTGGCTCTTTGATCACCTCCCCCGGAGGGGGAAGCAGCCTTACCAGGCCACAAAGGAAGACAAAGAAGCCAGTCTTGATGAGACCTGATAGACTAGGGTCAGATGGAAGGGGAGGAGGACCTCCCCTATCATTGGACTGGGGGAGGGGCATAGGAGAAGAAGAGGGAGGGAACATGGGATTGGGAGGGGATGGGGAAGGGGCTACAGCTGGGATACAAAGTGAATAAACTGTAATTAATAAAAATTAAAAAATTAAAATAAAATTTAATTTGAAAAAAAAATCTTATTTTGAAAACATTTTGAACCAGACTGATTTTCTGTAACCAGTATGTTTAAAATGCAAGGTTCTTAAGAAAATTGCTAATTTAAACATGCATACTCAACTTGGAAAATTTGGACAATATTGAAAAGAGAAAATTCGGCCTTTTCCCTCAGGAAAGTAATTAAGTGCTTTGGAAATCATGTAAGGAAAGCCTAACTTCCCTGAGGTCATGAGGCTACAGCAGTGATAGGCCTGTTGTTGACAGAGGCTTGCCTAATGATAGTACAGATCATAAGTCAAACAGTTTGTGGCTAGGCTAGTTGCGGGGGCTGCAGTTGTGAAACAATCAAGTTCTGCCCTCTGAAGTTTATTCACATTGGGAGGCAGCTGTTGAGTAATATTCACACAAATACATTCTTTCCAACACTCACGTCGGAAGCTAGAGTGGAGCAGTGCAGAAGTGTGGTCACAACTTCAAGTCCAAGGTCCATTCAAAAGATGCAAAGACCATGGAGGAGGAGAGGGAGGGGCAGAAATGCTTCCTAGGAATAGGACACTCCTGGATGAGGGTTCATTTAAGCAGGCATAATCTCCTTAAAGAACACAGTAGGCTACCAGGAACAGAGTGGATAAGTTAGAGATGGTAGAGGGCAGGAGGCAGGTTTGCTTGGGCTCAAGGAACCAAAGGAAGTAGCTCCGCTGAAATTTAAAAGACAGAAGGAGCCAAAGAAAACTTTTAGGCAATGTGGATGTGATTTGGCTTTCCTTCCCCCCACCCAATTTCTTTGTCTTTTCTTCCTTTCCTCCCCCTCCTCTTCCTCCTCCTTTTGGATAGACCTATCTCCTAGACAGAAATTCATGTATCCTAGACTGCTATCAAAGTCACTGTGTAGAGGACTTTTTAAAATTACATTTATTTATTATTCATGGCACAGAGAACAACTTGCATGAGACGCTACTATTCTCTTTTCACGATGTGGGTCCCAATCATTGAACTCAGGTCATCAAACAGCATCAAGCTTTTCTCACTGTACCGTCTTAGAGACCCAGGCTTAGACTTCTGATCCCCCTGGCTCTATTTCACCAGTGCTGGAAGTACAGGCTGCCACCATAGCCAGTTAAGGGGACTGAATCTGGGACTCAGCGCGGTAAGCAAGCACTCTCCCAGCTGAGCTCTGTGTCCTGACCTTTCCTTTTATAAAAACTATGGCTGCCACTCAAGAAATATCTGACAGGACTCGGATTTAGCTCAGTGGTAGAGCGCTAGGCTGTGGGTTCAGTCCTCAGCTCTGAAAAGAAAGAAAGAAAGAAAGGAAGAAAGAAAGAAAGAAAGAAGGAAGGAAGGAAGGAAGGAAGGAAGGAAGGAAGGAAGGAAGGAAGGAA